ACACACACAAATGAAGTGGAATCATCTATACTGGACACCCAGCTTGACACATAGCATTCCATAGTCAGTGGAGGCCATGGCCTGCTTTTTCCTTGCATACGTTTCCCCCTTTGGATAGTGCCTTTGCAAGTGTTAATTATTGGCTCTCTGGCATTGTGGATTCTTTTTATCTTTTACCAGTTGGACATGGTTAGACTGCACTCTTAGAATTTCTGTAACCTTGAGATTTGCTGAACACTGGAATTGAGGTACTTAGCACCAAGAAGGCTACTCTGACTCTAAGGACTTCCCCAAGGCTCTCACATGGATTTTACATGTCACAAGATGCAGAACAACCACAAGATTACATCACTCAGCTGAGGTCAGCACCTCTGAAATGGGAGCACAGAGCATATTACCAGCCTTAACTCCTTCCATCTACCCTGATAATGTCCCATTGCTCATAATGCGAAGTGAGTCACTATAGTGATAACAGGCTGAACTAGAAGGTAATGATAAAAGATGTTGCATAACCTGTATACATTTTTATGGCTGTTTATCCCACTAAAATGGGTTTAAGATAATTCTCTGCATCCAACTTTGTGGAAGCATCGTATAGTTGATAAACATTCAGTAAGCCAGACTGGACTCTGACACCTTTAAGAGAACTTAGGGGCGTTACATGTGCCTCTGCAAAAGAAGAGTTCTGGTGTAGGACCATGCAGAATCTATGCTTTAGGACAAAGCTCGGGAACTATATACACACAGAAGTGTATATAATCAATATTATAGAGAATATAAGAATAATATAAGAATCAATATCCATAAACATCAATCTAGGAATTAAAAAACTACCCCTAGTACATTGATTTCAGGAACCCAAGGCTTTACAGCAACAGCAAAAATCATCACACTAGGGAAGCAACAAACAACTCAGGACCTTTATTCTTGCTCTACTTCCCTGAATTGTTACTTACAGGTTCCCGGCCATCCATGGCTTCCATCCAGAGCCTCCGGTCCTCTTCCGACAATGCCTGCATAGTGATAACTCCTGGCCTGCAGAGAAAGGAGGGACACAGATATGAACCCAGAGCCACATGTAGAGAGACTGGCAAAGCTGAACTTTAAAGAAACGCCCACTCAATACAGTGAGTGGTTTCTAGGGTTAACAAGACAAAGAGAGGCACAACACTCTTTTCTAAGCCACATTCCAGTCTCAGAAAGCAAAGCCATCTCCCCAAATCCTGCTCAATAAGCCCATCTCTGAGAGGGAGGAAGAAACACAGAAGATACGAACCTATCTCACAGGTAAGGAACACAGATGAGTAAAGTGATTCCTTCAGAACTTGTTTGCTCCTTGAAATCTTATTCATTCCTATTCCCCAAAATACTTAACAGAGTGTTTTACTGACTCAGGAATGCAATAAATATTTATTGAAGTGAACAATATGGACTCAAGATAAAAAGAGGAGAAAGCATCCATGGTGGAGGCATCCTGATCTCCTAATATCTAGTCCAATGCTTCTAAACTGCTTTTGACATGGACAAGCTTTATGGAGGTAATCACCTTCATAGTTATGATTATATTAAATGCACACAGTATGTTTTAAATGAATATTTACTCGTGTCAAGTGCTAAGTGCTTTATATACATTAGCTCTATTCACTCACTGAAATCTGCTTGCTCTTTAAAGCTGAGCACTAACCCTCCAGAAAGCACGCACATAATATCAAATGGTGTTTGTTGAATTCCCATTACAAATGGCCTCCACGAGAAGAAGAAACTTTGCCATAAAAATGGCCTTGGGAGAAGGGGCTAAAAGTCCTCTTGGTTCATTAAAGAAGTTCTTCACTTAGGGTCCACAGATGGATCCCAGAGTGTCCCTAAGCCACCTCTCCCCACCCCCAAACATACGTATGTTTTTCTGTAGAAACAATTCAAACTGTCCATCAGATTCTCAAAGAAGACTGCAACCCTCAAAAAGTTAAGAATTGCTGATTTAAACCCTTATCATTAAAATCTGAGAAAGCCTAAAAGGGAGGAAGAGGTCTACTGAGAGAGAACTAAAGTCCTATTACTGTCTAAGTCCACAAGTATTGCTAATGATCATAGATCAATTATAGTCTACTACAGTAATTTAACACTGTAGCATTAAAAACACATGGGCTTGGCAATACCCTCAGCAGCACAAACTTGGGCCCTACAACACCGAAACATGTTAATTCTGATCCACCTACAATCTCTGCTCCTGGCTTATTTTCATAGTTCCAATGAATATGCAAGAACTATTTATGTTTAACATATCTTAAAGATCACAAGGAACTCGAACAACTTAACAGTAAAAAAACAAATAATCCCATTAAAAAATGGCAAAAGGGCTGAATAGATGTTTCTCAAAAGAAGACATAAAAATGGCCAACAAGTATATGAAAAAACATTAACATCACTAATCATCAGGGGAATGCAAATCAAAACCACCCTAAGGTATCATTTCACCCCAGTTAGACTGGCTATTATTAAGAAGAGAGAGAATAACATATGCTGCTGAGAATGCAGAGAAAGGGTAACACTTCTACACTGTTGGAGGGACTGTAAATTAGCACAGCCATTATGGAAAACAGTATGGAGGTTCCTCAAACAACCACAGATAGAACTGCCACAGGATCCAGCAATCCCATTACTGGGTACATACCCAAAGGAATGGAAATCATCATGTTGAACAGATACCTGCACTTACATGTTCACCGCAGCTGTATTTACAATAGCTAAGATTTGGAACCAACCTAAATGTCCATTGACAGTTGACTAGATAAGGAAAATGTGATATACGTGCAAAATGTAATACTACTCAGTCATAAAAAAGAATAAAATTCTGTCATTCACAGCAGCATGCATGAGCTTGGAGAAAATTTTGTTAAGTGAAACAAGCTAGGCACAAAAAGAAATACTGCATGCCCTCACTCATAAGCAGGAGCTAGAAAATAAATGGAAGGAAGGAAGAGAGGGAGGAAGGAAGGGAGGAAGGGAGGGAGGGAGGGAGGAAACAACAATCACAATTAATATGTGGAACTTTCAGAAAGAGAGAATAGAACTGTGGTTACTAGAGGTAGGAAAGGAGAAGGTGGTGGGGGGTTAGTGAGAGCTTGGTTAATGGACAAAAGGAATGATTATGTTTTGTAATGATGAACATGCTAATTATACTGATTTGATCATCACACATTAGACACAAGTATTGATATTCAATTCTGTACCCCACAAATATAGTCAATTATGCTTTACATATTATTGTATAATCAATTATGCTTTAATTTAAAATGAAAAGAAAAATTAAAAATAAAATAAAAATTTTAAAAAAATCACACTTGCTTCTTTTCATTGATCATCCCCTAAGAAAAAGTCTTCAAAAGATGTGAGAATGTAGGTACAATGGGGTTGGGGATACGAAGGGCATCAGGATGGGCATGTGAAGGTGTGAACACACGTGTGTGTGTGTGTGTGTGTGTGTGAGAGAGAGAGAGAGAGACAGACAGACACAGGGAGAGACACAAAGGACAGAGGTGGGAGGGTGGGTAAGCAGCTAGATGAGTGAGTGTTGAGG